CATGATACAGTAATTCAAATTGGTGTTATACTAAAGGAAACAGTAGATTAGGTCAAGACATTCACGATGCCATTATTTTCGCTCGATTCTATAGCATAGAAACGACGTAACAGTCTCATAACCCAACTACAATAGAAGATGACGTCGTACGACGCCGCCGGCATGTTCACGGGACAGGTCTCTGGGAGTAGTTGTCCTTAAAAAAAAGATTTCTAAAATCGGACGAGAAGGAGGCGAGAAATCGACGAAAATAAAAAAGACGTTTTTTATGACGTGACCCACTTCTAGCTTAGATCGATCATTACTCGGTCTGTATGGGTCCAATCTTGATGCGGATTAGTGCGTTGGAGTCGCCTTGTCTAGCCGCTTCCGTTTCGCGCTATATCGTCGGCATCGGTCTATAACTACAAGATATGACGAAAGCGATGACGTTATAACGAGCTCGTATCCGACGATGAGGTTGGTATAAATACTCGCGTTTTGTTTAAAAAACAAATGATTCGAATAAAATTGGAAATCGACTCCCAAGGTAAGGTAGTGAGAATATTTCTTAGTTCAGAGCGTTAATACGACGCATTTTCTAAAATTATTACGGTACCTATAATTTACGAACGTGAATAGCTTTCGATGACTGTAACTGGAGTTCTAATGGATCGATTTAAACGAAACTTTTAACATTATTTCCAATGTTGAACGAACTTTTTATTCATCGGTGCTACCAAACACGTTCGTTTCAGAGACATTTTTACATGATCGGCGTCCTATTATTTCATATGTTATTCAACGCAATTCGCAAACAAACAAAAATCAAGAGAATACTCTTTTCAAGGTCATTCCCATTATTTTGCCTATTTTGATTTTCGTATCTCAAAATGACAGTTGCAAAAGTTACATTTAAAAAAACAAAAAACAACAAAAAACCCGAAAAGATTCTTCCCGATCTATGTTTATCGCTTAGTACGACCTGGCATGTCTTTGTTACGTGAACGCTAATTACAACGCGAGTTGCGTCGGCCGTACCCCATGATTTCATAACATTTTTTAACCAATGGCAACGTCGCAAAGACCATTTTCATTTTTTTGAAACTTGAAATCTTATAGACGTACCTCTTCGCGACTTTGGCGTCACTTGCGTTTTGGCTTCCGACTTAAGTACATCTAGTGGTCCGCATTCAGAATGAATTCGTCATTTCCCATGTGAGTATTTCGGTATTTGTTTTACTTCTGGAAACACGATAACATTATTACGTTATAATATTGTTATTTATCGCAATTAATTTGGTTTGAATGTTTTTTCCTATGTTTTTTTTTTGTTTAACAGCGTTGACGGCACCTCCTCTCCCACCAGCGTGTCATTGCTGGCTACAACTTTGAATTATCCGTAAGTACTTTTTTCTTTCATTTCTTAGGTAAATTTTATTAGAATGTAATGTCAACAAAAGAATTTTACGAACGAAGGATCTTTGGATTACAAATTTTAACGAGTCGTGTTCATCTTTGCTCCTTATTTTTCATTTTAATTTCATTTGTAGTCTCTGGAGCAGCACTCCAATACGTCCAGGAGTGAAGACACTCAAGCGGCGTCTCTCTTACGAGGGAGAAGTGCCATCCCCCGTGTAAGTCGCTATTTTACTACATTTTGCATCTAGAAATTGCTTTTTATCCGCGGTATACTCGTATACATTTTTGCGCTCGGGGTTTGTCGATAGTCTTGTACGATACCACGTTCTTTAAACCAACCCATAGAAAGCATTCGCTTGATTTAATGGTAGTCTTTTTTTCTGTTCTGCGCGATACAATGCATACGGTCTCTGATAATTCTAAATTTATTCTGTTACTTCTACTCTGAAGGGAGAGAAAGGGAGACACCACGCTAGCACCGACTCCGTCGACTCCGTCGACTCCGTCGACTCCGAACTCGCCCTCCTGGGTGGAAACACCAAGTCCGAGGCAAGTGAGTATCATTCATTCATTCATTTTCACTCATTCATTTCATTCATTCAATTTTATAGACGCGACAATTAACCAGTAATCTTAAGTTTGTTTTATTCTAATTCCAATTCCTTTTCTTTTTAATCCTTTCAGAAGATCATACTCCTCGTGGCAGCCTCAAGGCAGATGCTCAGGGAAATAGAGGAACAGTTAGAATTTATTCAGGAAACCATTACTATTTTGGCTGTTTGGGAAAGTAAAAAAAACCAAACTTTTAAAATGATATAAAAAATTAAAAAACAAAAACTAAAAACAAAACTTCTATGAAATTGGGGTCTTTTGGAATAATGTGTTGGGGGGTTCTTTTATGATATATGTCGACCTAGTACACGAAATCTCGGCCGCATTATTATAAGAGATTCACCCGACTAAATGAACGACAGAACTGGGAGGAAAACGAGGATTTCTCGATCTCTGAACGCTCTTGGGAATTTACAGTGGATTTATTGTGCTTTCGGATTTGTTTATTCGTTGGAACGTCATCGACATACTGTGAGTATTGTGTGGTTTTTTATTTGTTATAGTCAATAGCGCTGTCACAAATCGCGGTCCTTGCGAGAGAGATGAAATGAATTTTCCTTTGTTCCCACCGTATCGCGGGCCGCTCTCAAGTCACGGTCCTTGCGCGAGAGATGAATGACTTTTCCTTTGTCTCCCGTAGCGCGGGCCGCTCTCGCGGAAACGTTCAACGAGGCTTGTTTAGGGCTGGGGGTCGTTTATTCTATCAGCCCTAACACAGCATTCTTATGCCAATGGAATGTAAACGGACTCAAATAGCATATGAATGAACTGGCTTATAAATAAGGGCTTGTTACTACACCGTTTCCGTCTTTGTTTTTGTCTTGTATTCTTTCAAACCGTCAGTTTATTACGATCAGTTTCACGTACTATATAAAAAAGGAAGTTGAAATCAATCAATAAATAAATTCAGTTGAAATTGAATTTGTGGGACCGTCACACAGTTTTCAAACGATGACTCGAAGGAAATGACGCTGACGTAGGGACGCTACGTTCATATATAGTTAGTTAGTTAGTTATAGGCTTTGTTCTATCGGTACTCCTTTTGATTGGCTAAATTATGATCGAAAACCAATCACCACTCATCTCCAAACCATTGTATAGTGAGGGACGCTATGGGACCATTTTTGGCATCGCGTCTTTCGTGACGTCATCGGGTTGATTGCTTCTCAATGGCCGCTTCTTCCACTTTTACCGTATTTTGGCATCGCTTGATTCGTGACGTCATCGACTCTTTGTGTCCTGACGCACGGGATAGGCCACGCCCCCCGGACCGTTTTGATCGAAAATTCGATCAAACAGAGGTATATACAACAGGGAGTATGCAGCAGGGCGTGGCGTCATCCCACAGATGACATCCTTACCTTGTCAGCTTGCTGACGGGGTTAACCTCTTTGGTCATGTGGACAAGCGTTAGACTTCGTGGTTCGAATCCCAGCACGGGAATCGGACATTTTATGGCCGCTACATATGCACCGGTTTTGCGACAGGACATCCCTGTGTCATTCATGCCGAAAACTTGCCATCGTGTATTGTCCTTCTTTAAAATGTTTACATGTTTACACCAAGGTGAATGGCGTCTCCGCAGCACGTCGACATGCAACCCATACCTTTGTTATATATTTAAGCACGTGCATTCCATGTGCATTCCCGTTTGATAGGGTATGGTCGCCTGCTTGGACCAAAATGTGCCTATAGTGTTTATCGGGTTATGGCACGCTTCACGTACAAGGTGTACTCTCCTACATTGTATGTGAGAGCATTAGATCAAGATTATTCGAGCAATACATGTACATACCAATGGAATTATACTATGCATCCTCTCATGACACATCTTTCAGAAACTTTACTTCTGTGTATTGCTGAAGTGGGACATACATAAACTCACACACTCTCACTCACACGCTCCACACACTGGCATCACACACTCACAAACCACGCTAACCGTGAAGAGTGAGTGAGTGAGTATGGTTTTACGCCGCTTTTTTAGCAGTATTCCAGCAATATCAAGGCAGGGCACACCAGACGCCGAACCGTTAAGATCCGGGTTAGAATTGATCTTCAGTAACCCATGCTTGTCTCCTCCCCGTGAAGATCCAGTTTAGAATTGATCTTCAGTAACCCGTGCTTGTCGTAAAAGGCGACTAACGGGATCGGGTGGTCAGGCTCGCTGACTTGGTTGACACATGTTATCGTATCCCAATTGCGTTGATCAATGCTCATGATGTTGATCACTGGATTCTCTGATCCAGACTCGATTACTTACATACCGCCACCATATAGCTAAGGTATTGCTGAGTGCGGCGTAAACCAACAAACTTTTATATCCAACCCACTCACTCACCCATGTTTCCTATTCCTTGGGATTAGAGAAATAATTCGACTTAACCCGGGTTCGATATATACAATTCCAATAATAACGTGGCACTTCTATCAATGTAATTGAAAACACAAACCATGCCTATCCCTTTGAAGCATTCAAATTAACAAAGACATCAAACAATTCAGTTTTTAATCAGCACTAAGCATACATCTTAAAAATAACACAATACATCTTAAAAATAACACAATACATGTTCGTGAGTGAGTTTAGTTTTACGCCGCCTTTAGCAATATTCCAGTAATATCACGGCGGGGGACACCAGAAATGGGCTTCACACATTGTACCCATGTGGGGAATCGAACCCGGGTCTTCGGCGTGACGAGCGATCGCTTTAACCACTAGGCTACCCCACCGCCCCACAATACATGCTAAATGATGACGATGTTCTGACAAACAAAGCCCGGGCTACCTGGGAAACCACAGGATCATGGTTTTTGCAAGCCAAGATGATTTGCCAAAAAAGCTTTTAGCGTGTGACATTCTTGGCACAGGTCATTTGATATGTACTTCAAGACAATTCTGATAGTGTTCTCGGGTAATGTATAAGTGAAATAATCTGAACTATGGACAACCAAGGAGCAATGAAAATACCGAGATCTGTTAATACTCACATACGGTTGATGTTCACGTAATGAATCTCATAGCAAAGTGTCCTCACGACAGGAAAGAAATAATTTGTAAAGCCACAGTAATGATTTTTGTGGACATAAAATTTCCTGAATCCTGCATCATGGACGTCTTTCAATATTTTCAGTCTGTTGATGCAGTCATTCCTGTCACTGCAAGCTCCGTGATATTCCACGAGAAACTGTCTGACTTTGGACAGTTCGCCGGATGACACCATGTTGGGGATTGAAGGCCATTCTGATCTTTCCACATCCATCTTCAAGACATCAATGACTCTCTGGAAAACAAAAGGAATTATTTTACCGGATGAGAGAGAGAGAGAGAGATGGAGGGGGATGGAGAGAGAAGGGGGGGAGGGAGAGGGGGAGAGTGAGAGAGGGGGAGAGAGAGGGAGAGAGAGAGTTTCAATAGTGATGTGTGCGAGAGAGAGAGTTTCAATAGTGATGTGTGCGAGCGAGAGAGAGAGTTTCAATAGTGATGTGTGCGAGAGAGAGAGAGAGAGAGAGAGAGTTAGTTTCAATAGTGATGTGTGCAGTGTGTGTTAAACAACAAACAGATCATACGTTGAGGGTCAAATAGTCTGATTTCCTGGAAGCAGACATCGGAAAACCAGGATATTCACGGGAGCAGTGACATGACTAACAATTACTATAAATGGGGCCACGAAGGCATTCACGGGAGCAGTGACATGTCAAAATATGTCAAATGTCAAATGTCAATATATGTTTGTGTCACTTACCCCCGTGTGGTTCAACATTTTCTTCATACTCGTCAATGTCAGCATGTCCCAAGCTGCCTTTTTGTAGTCTCTTCCATCAATGCCTATCCTCAAAAACCGGACACGTGGCGACCTCTGGTAACTGGCCTGGTTCATACTGAAATATGATTATTATCACTATCGTCATTACTATTTTTACAGACAGGCAGTCTTCCTACATAAATGCCAAGGAGAAAATGAGTGAGTGAGTCAGTTTAGTTTTACGTCGCACTTAGCAATATTATAGCTATATAGCGGCGGTCTGTAAATATTCGAGTATGGACCACACAATCCAGTGATCAACAGCATCAGCATCGATCTACGCAATTGTATACGATGATATGTGCCAACCAAGTCAGGGAGCCTGACCACCCGATCCCGTTAGTCGCCTTTTACGACGAGCACGGGTTACTGAAGATCAGTTCTAACCCGGATCTTCACGGGGAGGAGACAAGCATGGGTTACTGAAGGTCAGTTCTAACCCGGATCTTCACGGGGAGGAGACAAGCACGGGTTACTGAAGATCAGTTCTAACCCGGATCTTCACGGGGAGGAGACAAGCATGGGTTACTGAAGGTCAGTTCTAACCCGGATCTTCACGGGGAGGAGACAAGCACGGGTTACTGAAGGTCAGTTCTAACCCGGATCTTCACGGGGAGGAGACAAGCATGGGTTACTGAAGGTCAGTTCTAATGGGTTACTGCCCGGATCTTCACGGGGAGGAGACAAGCATGGGTTACTGAAGGTCAGTTCTAACCCGGATCTTCACGGGGAGGAGACAAGCACGGGTTACTGAAGATCAGTTCTAACCCGGATCTTCACGGGGAGGAGACAAGCATGGGTTACTGAAGGTCAGTTCTAACCCGGATCTTCACGGGTCGGCAATCTTGGAACTTTACATGGCAAGTATCTTTACCTGCTGACTTTTCCCGCACACCTCAAATCATGATCAATACGAAAACGAATACGATCTATGCACGCACGCACGCACGCACGCACGTACGCACGCACACACACACACACCGTGATATTGCTTGAATATTGACAAAAGCGGCATGCATAGAAGTTAACTAAACTGAGTTTCATTTCACGGAAACGGAAACCCTTTACTAAGACACTTGTTTGTGTAACATGTCAGGTCTTTGATGTTGCTGATGTTCTCTACAAGCATTTTCTGACGCAAACTAAAAATTCGCAGAAAATCAAAACTGTAGGACATGTGTACACATATTTTGCAAAATTGACTTTCAAATGTCTTAAAACTGTTTCATAGATTCGGTGGTCGAATCAAAAATATAAATAACTTTGCAAAACAAGATTCTATCGATGATGGGATTGGAAATTGTCACACAGCCCTAGCACAGCTGACATGCACAGGCGAAGGGATCTCATTCATTCAGAAATAGTCTGTTTATTCCGTATGGTTTACGGTTCGAACCCAATAGATGCTACTTGTCAGAGGCGATTTGGGTATTGGATGGACAACCTCGATGACTCTGGCATGGACTATGGGCAAAAATGTCCAGACTCCAGGATGTCCAGATTCCAGGATGTCCAGATTCCAGGATGTCTAAATCATTAACATCTGGCAGACTCCAGACTCCAGGATGTCCAGACTATAGACTCCAGGGTGTCCAGACTCCAGGATGTCCAGACTCCAGGGTGTCCAGACTCCAGACTCCCGGATGTCCAGACTCCAGACTCCCGGATGTCCAGACTCCAGGGTCCAGGATGTCCAGACTCCAGACTCCAGGATGTCCAGACTCCAGGGTGTCCAAACTCAAGAGTCCAGGGTGTCCAGACTCCCGGATGTCCAGACTCAAGACTCCCGGATGTCCAGACTCGAGACTCCAGGGTGTCCAGACTCCAGATACCAGGGTGTCAAGACTCCAGACTCCAGGGTGTCCAGACTCCCGGATGTCCAGACTCAAGACTCCCGTATGTCCAGACTCCAGACTCCAGGGTGTCCAGACTCCAGGGTGTCAAGACTCCAGACTCCAGGATGTCCAGACTCAAGACTCCCGGATGTCCAGACTCCAGACTCCAGGGTGTCCAGACTCCAGATACCAGGGTGTCAAGACTCCAGACTCCCGGATGTCCAGACTCAAGACTCCCGGATGTCCAGCCTCCAGACTCCCGGATGTCTAGACTCAAGACTCCCGGATGTCTAGACTCCAGACTCCCGGATGTCCAGACTCCAGACTCCAGGGTGTCCAGACTCCAGACTCCCGGATGTCCAGACTCCAGACTCCAGGGTGTCCAGACTCCAGACTCCAGGGTGTCCAGACTCCAGACTCCCGGATGTCCAGACTCCAGACTCCCGGATGTCCAGACTCCAGGGTCCAGGATGTCCAGACTCCAGACTCCAGGATGTCCAGACTCCAGGGTGTCCAAACTCAAGAGTCCAGGGTGTCCAGACTCCCGGATGTCCAGACTCAAGACTCCCGGATGTCCAGACTCGAGACTCCAGGGTGTCCAGACTCCAGATACCAGGGTGTCAAGACTCCAGACTCCAGGGTGTCCAGACTCCCGGATGTCCAGACTCAAGACTCCCGTATGTCCAGACTCAAGACTCCCGTATGTCCAGACTCCAGACTCCAGGGTGTCCAGACTCCAGGGTGTCAAGACTCCAGACTCCAGGATGTCCAGACTCAAGACTCCCGGATGTCCAGACTCCAGACTCCAGGGTGTCCAGACTCCAGATACCAGGGTGTCAAGACTCCAGACTCCCGGATGTCCAGCCTCCAGACTCCCGGATGTCCAGCCTCCAGACTCCCGGATGTCTAGACTCAAGACTCCCGGATGTCTAGACTCCAGACTCCCGGATGTCCAGACTCCAGACTCCAGGGTGTCCAGACTCCAGACTCCCGGATGTCCAGACTCCAGACTCCAGGGTGTCCAGACTCCAGACTCCAGGGTGTCCAGACTCCAGACTCCCGGATGTCCAGACTCCAGACTCCCGGATGTCTAAATTATACTATTCACACTTTACTACGGATCAAGTCATGGATTCAACAGACAACTATTATGTGGGTGCAAATTTGGTTTAAATGCCTGTAAGCATATATCCTAGGTTTCAGTATGTCACTGCATCTTGTGGATCCTATATCTGCTATTGACATGTGTTTTTTATTTGTCAAAGACTCATTCCATGATTTGCCAAAATGGTTGATTGGTGCCAAGAAAAACCATTTTCATGGTTACTCATGTATCAAGAACATAAGGTTAGATTAAAGTGACTATTTTGCCTAATGAGGGGTTACCATATTATTATGTATCCACTTTTAAAGTGATTCAATTTCCAATTATAAGCTACATTTAAGTAAAGTTGTGAATTTTTGTGATCCTTAGCAAAGTGTGAGTAGTATATTAACATCTGCCAGATAACAACATATTGTTGATATGCGTCCGAACAAATAAACAAACAACCGACCTGCACAAACGTATATACAAACCTTGGATCAAAGGCAAAAACATTGCACTCATAATTTTTGGCCGTGTCATCGTCAAAGGAAAAATCGTTGTTGATTCTGTGGAATAAAAGGCATTACATATGAAAGTGTGTTATGACAAAACCAAGAGTGAGTGAGTGAGTGAGTGAGTGAGTGAGTGAGTGAGTGAGTGAGTGAGTGAGTGAGTGAGTGAGTGAGTGAGTGAGTGAGTGAGTGAGTGAGTGAGTGAGTGAGTGAGTGAGTGAGTGAGTGAGTGAGTGAGTGAGTGAGTGAGTGAGTGAGTGAGTGAGTGAGTTTAGTTTTACGCTGCACTCAGCAATATTCCAGCTATATGGCGGCTTGGGAACAAGAGTGAGTGAGTGAGTTTAGTTTTACGCTGCACTCAGCAATATTCCAGCTATATGGCGGCTTGGGAACAAGAGTGAGTGAGTGAGTTTAGTTTTACGCTGCACTCAGCAATATTCCAGCTAAATGGCGGCTTAGGAACAAGAGTGAGTGAGTGAGTTTAGTTTTACGCTGCACTCAGCAATATTTCAGCTATATGGCGGCTTGGGAACAAGAGTGAGTGAGTGAGTGAGTTTAGTTTTACGATGCACTCAGCAATATTCCAGCTATATGGGAGTATATGGGAGTATACATATATATTATATTTTCTTCATGTCTCATTTGAGGCGAATCTGCAGATATTGATGTACGATAATGGATAGAATTGAGAAAATATCCTAAAGTGCGATGAAAACTTTCCCATTTGTGTATTTATGTTTTATTGACAGAATCCCTGCGCAGAGCTAGCGATTGTCACATGTATAGAGATATAGTTGCTGATGGATTGCCGTGCATCTCACTGTCCAAGCTACGGATGCATGGTTATACACTCTTCAAAAAAGAAACGCATAGGCGTTTCCAGCAGCTCATATCGATATATTTTGACAGAAATCGTCATTAAGACAATTCCTATGTTCGAATCCCGTTAATCATGTCGTAGTTGTTGTGTACAGCATCCCAAAATGTGTTTGTAATCGTTTGTCATAAAAAATGAAAACGATACATGAAAAGTGCATGCAGAAAAAGTTTTCCACGTAATGCACGTGAATGTGTCGGGCACATGACTTGAGACATCGACTATAAAAGGACAAACCAAATCCATCATTTCACTATGAAGTAAACGAGGATAGACGAAGAATTCTCCAAGCAATATTCCGACGACTTTTGCAATCCCTTCCATGGCGGCGTTCAGCAGTGAGGGCTGCAAGGGGTGGTGTCACCAGGTACTGGCCTGAACTCCCCCTTGTGTCCACACACGTGCAGTGAGCGAACTGAATTAATGCTGACAATGACAACAATACACATGTTCATCCGTGTGTCGAATTTCCTTCATCCATGTTCAAGCCTCATCGACTTATGTACTGACTGACTGACTGATTGAGTTTTAGTTTTACGCCGCTTTTAGCAATATTCCACCAATATCACGTGGGGACACCAGAAAATAGGCTTAACACATTGTACCCATGTGGGGAATCGAACCCGGGTCTTCGGCGTGACGAGCGAACGCTTTAACCACTAGGCTACCCCACCGCCCGACTTATGTACACTTGAACACGTTTAATACGTTTCCTTATTTTTGGCCAATGCATTTTTTTTTTTCTGAAGAGTGTAATATTGTGCAAAAAGGTATATAAAGTGCATGAATGGCTCTCAATAGGTTTTCACAAAATGCAGAATAAGCTCCTTTGTTCACAATGAGAGAAAGAGAAGAGTCTAATCAGGCGATATACAAATATGTATTTGGCAGCGACGTTATGCCGAGTCATCACCACACCAGGATGTGGCGCAACACCACGTGGTTACGGAGTTAAAGATATGACCCCACTTGTGCAAAGCGATCTTAACGATAAGTGAGTGAATGAGTGAGCGAATTTAGTTTGACGCCGCCTTTAGCAATATTCCAGCAATATCACGACAGGGGGACACCAGAAATGGGCTTCTCACAGTGTACCCATGTGGGGAATCGAACCCGGGTCTTCGGCGTCACGAACGAGCGCTTTAACCACAAGGCTACCCCATCTCCCCTCCTAACGCTAACTCCCATACTCTAACATGCACTTGAGATGGTACATGACTTGTGAGAATATGTTCAAAGGGGTTGCGCTGGGAGAACATATATGTTCGTTTTATATTTTGAAACGTATCTTTTTTCAATTTTAACATACCCGTGAAGGTCCGGGTTAGAATATTGATCTTCAGTAACCCATGCTTGTCGTAAGAGGCGACAAACGGGATCGGGTGGTCAGGCTCGCTGACTTGGTTGACACATGTCATCGATTCCCAATTGCGTAGATCGATGCTAATGCTGTTGATCACTGGATTGTGTGGTCCAGACTCGATTATTTACAGGTGGAACATTGCTGAGTGAGGCGTACAACTAAACTCACTCACTTCGATTTTAACAAGACGCGTTCGTGTCCCACATTCCGTTGTCAGTGTAAAGTACACGTGTTATATTTTTTAGGAAATACTCAGCCCTGGGCATGGCATGAAGGGTGCAAACATGTCTCCAAACTTAATATGTATCCTTCATTTGCTCCGCACCCGTGAAACTTCGGGTTAGAACTGGTCTTCAGTAACCCATGCTTGTCGTAAGAGGCGACTAACAGGATCAGGTTGTCAGGCTCCCTGCCTTGTTTGACACATGGCATCGTATCCCAATTGCGTAGATCGATGCTCCTGCTCGATTATTAACAGACCGCCGCTATATAGCTGGATTGTTGCTGAGTGCGGCGTAAAACATAATTCACTTACTCACTCATTTTCTCCTTGGCATTTATAAAAGTGTCTCCATACCATTCTCTTTCTTGGACTAATACGTGTTCCAGTTAATTGACTACTCACCCAAACGAGTACACGATACAATTCTTTACTGGGCGGTAACCAGGGTCGTCACAGATCTCCCAGCCTCCATCCCCCAGTTTGCCCATGCGCAGCTTCCGGTTGCACAATGTATCTGTGTTGTCAAGGTAACTGAACAGCAAAAAAAATAAAAATAAAAATTAATTATTCATTTAATAATTGTGTATAGTGTATCATATCTCGATTTTTTATGGGCATGTTTCCCACAGGGATTTGAACAATCTAACAGATCTCGTAAGAGACAACCAATTGGCAAGACGATTGACATGAATGACTGCGTGGTTTATCTGGTGAAGAACATTTGCATTCCACCGTCAGGTATATTGAATTCTACTATGGCTACGTGAAATGATCGATTTTGATTGGTCAATCAATAAAATTAGACGCCATCAATTTTGGATTGAAAATTCGTCTGATTTCATGACCGCTTCACTGCGCACGTATACAACACTGCCGCATCAGCTTGACCACCAACATGGCTAATATCAACACAACAGACGTGATGGAAATGCTGATAAAACATTTATGAAAACTCGAAAAATACAATTATTATATGATTTTTCCTCCACAATTATTAGGGAACCTAACTATCATATAACCTTCTATAATAAAAATATTCAAACTCAATTACAATACACAGCCCCAAACATAAACAAACAATATCTAACATGTAAATCAGAAAGCCTTGTAAATTTCATCCCTATCTATACAAAATGTGCAGCAAATCCTTACTAAACATTTACCTACCTGGTAAATGGTATATTTGTTTCCGTTTAGAATCATAAGAATGGGAAATTCGCACGATAACGGTCAGGCGAAACACAAAATTTATGCCACTCACACTCCATCATGTCCCGTTGCATCGTTCAAAAAATACATGTAAAAACTTGAACCACCAGAATTCCGCTCTCTGCCAGCTTCCCCACAAGGCTGTCACTTTTGGTGATCTATGTTCGAACACTTTGAAAAAAGTTTGGCCACAATCCAGTCCCAAATGATGAAAACAATGTTCCAAGGAGTCGCATGTACACAAAGCAGCACTGTCACTCTTTTCGTCGCATGCCGGGGTGCAGGCACCTACAGCCTATGTAAGTGAAATCTTGATCCACACTAGATGGTCATACAAATCTTTGAATCGTAGGTCGATCAGAAAAGTATCTATTCTTGGATTCTGCATGGTTCAGATTCGACAGTCAGTCAAGTATTTTCCACTGCTACGCGTTCGGTTCCAAATGAAATTTAGAGACTATCAATTCTGCCTAACATTCATCTAATTTCCAACACAGTACGTTTATCTCCTAAATATTGCAGACAACAAAATATACAAACTAATGTGGTATTTACATTATTATAAGTTGTATGTTTCTCTCGAGGGTAATACGGTCTGATGTACGCTTTTTTGTAGCAGTGTCACACGTATTTATCGTACCGCCATGTTAAATGTTCAAAATATCATTTAATTTTTATTTTGAAGATCGGTAACCTGGCTACCGACTATATGACATGTAAAGAAAATGGCGTCTGCCTCTCGATTGGATTTTTAGCATCAGTAAAACATATTCTGACAAGCTAAAAACTGCTATAAACATGATTAATTATGTTTAAGTTGATTGTGCAAACGCATCAAGGTATAAAATGGTTTAAATAAAGCAGTGAAAGTCGTTAAAATAAATGTGTACATAGTGAACTCTGAAACAGCTAATCGAACTCTTTTCGAACTCCGGCCACTGCGTGCGTCATATTATGACGTCATACGATTGTTAGCGATACCGCTTCTCGGCGGAGAGTTTGGCGGTTACCGTGGCAGCAGGACTGGTAATATTTTTTCCTGTTGTCACCCTCCTGGAAGGGGTGACATGGAAACTTGTTAAAGCGTCATTGACCAATGAAATTAAAGTATTTTATATGAAGGTAAGAAAATAGGTCCAGGACATAACGACACAATATACAGTGGTGGGCGAGCTGTCTTAGGCGCCAGGCTAGTGATCCAGCGAGCTTGAGGTGCCTGGATCGAGCCCACCTGTGACCGGGTGTAAAAATCTTGGTATGCAGACTCTTTCATTGTTGTCACAACCCCTAGTGTACAATACACAGCCCTGTGCACTTAAAAGAGCCCACGAATCCGTTGGTAAGTATAGGTTAATCACCCTTACAAGATACTTATTTAAATAAATTCTGCGAGGGCTTTTGTCCCGAGCAGAGTTTATTTAAATAACTACCGTAGTGAGGGCGATTAAACGGCTTACACCACGAGGGCATACATATTTAATACGCGTGTATTGTATTAGGCATGATGAAGATTATCAAAATGAGTACGATTTTATTGTTTTTAAATAGAAATATTTGCCCTAGGGCAGTTATTCAGTTATGCTAATAAAACACTTCCAAGAACAATGGACAAAACTTTCGTTAGTGGTTTAAGTGACGAGATGGTGGCCACATGAATACGTGCAAACACCTAGTTGCGGGTACAGCAACGTGCAGTAAACTTGGACAAAATACTGTGACTATGTGTCCCAGTCCACCCAGCTGAGAATGGGTACCTCGTAAGGGTGGGAAATATATTGATAATACCAGATTAGCGTATCCTGCCACCTCAAATTACCACCTCAAATTCAATACCACCTCAAATTCTTTCTCTAGGATTTTGATACAATCTTTGAAGACGACAAATTCTTGGAAGAATTATTCAAAGATGATGGTGTATACAATCACATGGCACATAATCATATGTTATCAGATAATAGTAAAGTGATTGAAGAGCCATAAAATAATATCCTTCAATGATGTTTATTCACAATTATTCCTCCAAGACGACCGGTAGGATATGGCAGTGATTTGGTTCAGGGGGCTCATTGAAATTATATGCAGAATAAAACTGATACCAAACACATTACAGATGGAAATACACGGAGTGATCAAGATTGAGTTCATACGCAACGGGGGGACGGTGGGGTAGCCCAGTGGTTAATGCGTTCGCTCGTCACGTCGAAGCCCCGCGTTCGATTCCACACATGGTTACAATATGTGAAGCCCATTCTGGTGTCTCCGCCGTGATATTGATGGAATATTGCTAAAAGCGGCGTAAAACTAAACTCACCCATTCTACCACCACCACCACAACAACAACAACAACAGCAACAGCGCGCAACAGCAGCAGCAGCAGCAACAGCAACAGCAACAGCAGCAGCAACAGCAGCAGCAGCAGCTGCTGCTTCTACTGCTACTATTACTACTATAATCGCCTTTGTACACCATTCTCTTTGATTGACCGCCTCCGTGGTGTTGTGGTTAGAGCGTCCGCCCGGAGAGCGGAAGGTCGCGGGTTCGATCCCCGACCGCGTCATACCAACAGACGTTAAAATATGGTACTTGTTGGTCCCTGCCTGGCGCTCGGCATTAATGGTTACAACAAGGACTGGTCGGCTCAGAGTCAGTATAATGTGTCTGAGTGGGGTATTCATGCTTCACTGCGGCATGGTATCTCAGTGGTCTAGCACTATAAAAAAACAGCTTAAGTCTGGGCTAGTACAAGCAGCCGCACATACACATACACACGCATGTACGTCGTCACATGAGCGAAATATTCTCAAGCAGGACGTGAAACCCAATTTCACCTCACCTCACCTCTTTGATTATATCTGTTATCATATGTTAGTTCTGACAGCGTGAAGGAGGAAGTACCATGAAGATATACTACCAGCCCCGTACCCTTTTGGTGCCTTTAAGTAGAATGATTTTATGAGTACTTATATTGACAAGTATCTGAGCCTATGAGTGAGTGAGTTGGGTCTTCAGCGTGACCAGCGAATGCTTTAACATTTAGGCAACCACACCACCAACCACCACCTAACCCCCCTCCCCACCTCCGTATGTGGTTTAAACATATTTTATTCCATTCAAGTAGAAAGAAAAGGATTGGCAAACAAGCCTAATTGGCTTCTATTAGTGCCGCTCTACAATGTGAAGGTTCACATTTATGCGTAATGTTGTACATATTTATAACAGTCATAACACGTTATCTCTGAATAATAACAATATTGGATATCAACAATTTATCTTGCTTTTGTTTCGTGGCCAGTTGACACAAATATAAAATAAACAGAAAATACAAAAACTTTTATATATCAAATCGTTTGGATGTAATAATGAATTGATGGACTGACCGTAGAATATCCATATAGTTATGGATCCGTAGTTATTACCATTTAGCACACCCCGAAGGGAGAAACCTTTTACATAGAAATAAGATTCGTATGTAGTAGTAGTAGCTGTCGTAGTTGTCGCCGGCACTAAACTTTTGACCCAGACTGACCTACAATTGCTCACCTGTGGTACGTTCTGAACGCTTCACTGACGGTCATCTTCGCGATGCCATCCTTATCCGGTAGAACGATCTACAACATGGAAATGAATGTAATACCGCACAACAACAAATACAGTGAGCTCCCTCTAAGTCGACATTGCTCGGGACCGGTGAAAACTGTCGGTTTAGAGGGTTGTCGGATTAGAGGAGGTATTAGGCACTCAATCCAAAATTCAACCACAGAGACAAAACTAAACAAACAGAAATGATGATCTCAATGTCAGTGTCAATGTCAATGTCAATGAATCATAACAAGCACTTAACAGGTGAATTCACCAATCTATGAATCCATTGAATAAATAATTAGCAAGTAATGGGGTTGAAGTGTCGTAAAAGGAGTGTCCCTTTGTGACTGCATAATATTATTATAGTGCATGGCAGACAACTGGAATTCTATTGCTTTAATTGTATTGTTTTAATGTCTGGCTAGCATTGTTTATAACTACCAGTGACTGAAGTGATGGTGTAAATCCTGCTGGTGATTCATGCGGGCAGCTGATGTACTGAAAGTCCCCGTGAACCCCAGTAAGGTGGCCTAGCTTTGATTGTTGGTGGTCCATAGCCGATATTTTAATGTTAATATATGTCATATCGAGTTGCATTTTTAGAACTGGAAATGATTAGTTTTTAGACTTGCATTCTGTGATACGTTGCTAAAGTTTTACTGTCCTTCGTGACAGATATTGATCATATACTACCTTTGTTCCTGTCACTATATGGCTGACATATTGCCGGTGTGACGTTAAATTGTAACCCACTCACTCTCTTCTCGCCCAAGCGCGTTGAATTGCTAAATACACACCATGTGTTGGCTGATGCAATTACAATGTCGGTTTAGAAAGTGTCAATTTTCACTAAAAACATGTTTGGGGACCGGATTTGAGTGTCAGAATTCGAAATAGACAGACCGATGTCTGATTAGAGGGAGTTTCTTAAATGATATTATACAGGGACAACTTTGGGACCAAATAAACAATACGCTAACCAGGATTTAAACCCAGGATCACAGGTTCCTGGCACGTCCAAGGGAAGTTACTCAGGACCACCCTTAAAATGAAATTATGCAATGTGGAGATTCATACCTGTCCCTGCTGGCGAATTTGCTTGAGTGGTCCAGCATTGTTTGTTTCTGAATGAAGGACCCAAGATGGTGATCGGTTCTGAAAGAAAGAACGAGTTTATATGTTGAAGAGTCAAAATATAAATATGTATTGGACAGAGATACATTTTTTGTCACTATTTCTTGAGGATCTGGGCCACGATCCACAAAATGAGTGAGTTTGTTTTACGCCGTACTCAGAAATATCCCAGCTGTATGGCGGCGGTCTGTAAATAATCGAGTCTGGACCACACAATCCAGTGATCAACAGCATGAACATCGATATACGCAATTGGGAATCGATGACATGTGTCAACCAAGTCAGCGAGCCTGACCACCCGATCCCGTTTGTCGCCTCTTACGACAAGCATGGGTTCTTCTCATCCGAATCTAAACAAATATTGGAACATACGAAACCCAAGCAGGTTCTAAAAACAGTAACTCAAAGAATGACGCCAGTTACATTTTCAGGCAAATTACTGCAAAGAGGGTTAAAATCTTGTAACATAACACACAACGCAATACAAGATTTCTCATTTCCCATTATACTGTCACTAGTGAGTGAGTGAATTTAGTTTTACGCCTCGTTTAGCAATATTCCAGCAATATCACGGCGGGGGACACCAGAAATGGGCTTCACACATTGTACCCATGTTGGGAATCGAACCTGGGTCTTCTGTGTGACGAGCAAACGTTTTAACCACAAGGCTACCCAACCCCATAAGTACTGTCAATAACTTGATCAAAGTCAATATGAAAAGCACTGTGAATATAAAGAAGGCCTGGGGCTCCTTTCACAAAGCAACCTTTAGTAATGCTTACCTTAACTCCCATTCTTTAACACTGCACTAAGGTTACCTTAGTGACTTACGATCACCTTAGTGCTTTGTGAAAGGAGGCCTTGGTGGTTAGAGTCGACCAGTCACCGTTGTTCACCTGAAATCGGTATTCACGTGTCGAATGCCACTGAATGATCACTCGGCAACAGGCATTATGACAAGTGTTTGGGCAACAACATGGATATTATTTACAGATCTTCCGTTGCAAAGTCCAATGTTTTACAAAGCACGAGGTCTTCTTATCAGGGTTGCTGGAGACCAATTCTAACCCAGATGTTCACGGGTTGAGTAACAACAAGACCAATGATGACATCAAACGATTTGAATAGAACATAGAGACATCATACTGTTCAAGGTCAGTCAGACGCTTGACTTTTTGAACGGCGTCAGCGTCTTTACTTTGAGGAATAGGATTCACCTGATGAAGGAGTAGAAATATACTCCGAAACGTCGTATTCCTCAAAGTAAAGAGTGAGTGAGTGAGTTGGGTTTTACGCCGCACTCACCAATATTCCACCTATATGACGACGGTCTGTAAATAATCGAGTCTGGACCAGACAATCCAGTGATCAACAGCATTAGCATCGATCTGTGCAATTGGGAACCGATGACATGTGTCAACCAAGTCAGCGAGCCTGATCACCCGATCCCGTTAGTCGCCTCTTACGACAAGCATGGGTTACTGAAGGCAAATATTCTAACCCGGACCTTCACGGGTAAAAAGGTTTACATACATAAATAATTATTCAGACATCACACGATGATGATGCTTTGAAAGTGGGCAAAGAATCTGAACAAGGTGATCCTGTTGACATCCCATAATGTCCTTGGCTTCTGTGATTGGATATCTTGGTTCCGATCCACAAAGCATTCATAGCGCTACGCCATTCGTAAGCTTATGATAAACTATAGAGTGACGACAGATCTTAACATTACGAACGCTTTGTGGATTGGGACCCGGCTTTAGAAAAAAGCCAAAAGGCACTTTGATGAATATGAGAATCCGAAGGCTATATTTTGAACAATTGACATGATCGCTTTGACTGATCTGATGAAACAGCTATGAACTGGGACCAAATTCAAGCGATAACACTTACAATGAGCATAGAAAACCTCGAATATGCTGATGTCGATAGATGGCTTGAACGCCATTCAAGTGACCGCTCATATTTGAGTCATCATATCCTTGACCCCTATTGTAGTCTTTGATAATTCCATATTTCTGCCTTGTCTAATTCCGATAGAAACGACCGACAATATATAATTACCAGGCATTGTACTCGCGGCTTCTATGAACTCAAGAAAAGATCCCATCAGTATACGTACTGTCTGCCCTTGTTTTAATATATATATAAACTATAAAAAAAAAAACGCATAGACGGTTTGTATTTTTAAAATCTATTAATTACTTATTGTGTTCAAACAATCGTCAAAATATGTAACAAAAGTGTTTGATAACTTGATTTTACACAATTGCACAAGTAAAAACTCAACTTTATCTGAAAATGTTGATTTTGATGAGATTTCTTACAAGGATAAAAAAGGCATCGCCACAACGCAACAGAAATCACCTTCCTGTTGAGATTGTGCAGCAAAGAGCATGCACTGTCTGGCTATAAAAATCCAGATTACTTTCGGAAATCGTCATTCGTTTTGAAGGAGTTTCAAGGTCAAATCACTAAGCCATGTCTTGACGCTGCGACACGGAACATCGCCATTGAAAGAATGCACGCTAGAGATATGGCTGAAATACTGCCGATGTGACTTTAAATTTTAACTCAGTGTAGTGTGTCTGAATATGGCCTTAGGACTGTGTACATTACATGTAAGAGGCGACTAACGGGATCGGGTGGTCAGGCTCGGTCACTTGGTGGACACATGTCATCGGCCTTTGTTCACCACTGAACCTTTCAATCCCTCGAAACAAGCACCTCACAAGATTTGCCAACAACGCAGACCCCGTTGCGTAGAACGATGCTCATGATGTTGATCACTGGATTGTCTGGTCCGGACTCTATTATTTACAGAGCGCGGCGTAAAAATAAACCCACCCACTCAATTACCTGTTTTTGATGGGTCTTCCCCTTGGTGTGTTCAGTGAAGGTTTCAACTGGGCGGACGTTCTTTTCTGCATATCCAGGCTGTGATAGGGAGTGATTTGAAATTTTAATCTCTATTCTTTCATAAATACAAACATTCCAATTAGTTTAATTTCAATTTTGTACGTCAAAATACAAAACCCGCCTATTCGAAACTGGCTATTATTAGTTTTAACTTCCACATCTCCAACTTGTTGAAGGGGTTAATGTAAAATTTGAATGATTGTAACAGGGTTAATGCAAAGTTTGAAAGATTGTGAAGGGGTTATTGTAATATATAAATGATTGTGAAAGGATTGGGGTAATAAGTGAATGATTGTGAAGGGGTTAGTGTAATGTGTGAATGATTGTGAAGGGGTTAGTGTAATACATGAATGATTGTGAAGGGGTTAGAGTAATATTATCAATGGTTGTGAAAGGGTTAGTGTAATATTTGAATGATTGTGAAGGGGTTAATGTAATATGTGAATGATTGTGAAGGGGTTAATGTAATATATGAATGATTGTGAAGGGGTTATTGTAATATATAAATGATTGTGAAGGGGTTAATGTAAAATGTGAATTATTGTGAAGGGGTTAGTGTAATATGTGAATGATTGTGAAGGGGTTAGTGTAATACATGAATGATTGTGAAGGGGTTAGTGTAATATTATCAATCATTGTGAAAGGGTTAGTGTAATATGTGAATGATTGTGAAGGGGTTATTGTAATATGTGAATGATTGTGAAGGATTAATGAAATATGTGAATGATTGTGAAGGGATTAGTGTAATATGTGCATGATTGTGAAGGTGTTAGTGTAATATTATCAATCATTGTGAAAGGGTTAGTGTAATATGTGAATGATTGTGAAGGGGTTAGTGTAATACATGAATGATTGTGAAGGGGTTAGTGTAATATTATCAATGGTTGTGAAAAGGTTAATGTAATATGTGAATGATTGTGAAGGGGTTAATGTAATATGTGAATGATTGTGAAGGGGTTAATGTAATATGTGAATGATTGTGAAAGGGTTAGTGTAATATGTGAATGATTGTGAAGGGGTTAGTGTAATATGTGCATGATTGTGAAGGGGTTAATGTAATATATGAATGATTGTGAAGGGGTTAATGTAATATATGAATGATTGTGAAGGGGTTAATGTAATATATGAATGATTGTGAAGGGGTTATTGTAATATATAAATGATTGTGAAAGGGTAAGTGTAATATGTGAATGATTGTGAAGGGGTTAGTGTAATATGTGAATGATTGTGAAGGGGTTAGTGTAATACATCAATGATTGTGAAGGGGTTAGTATAATATTATCAATCATTGTGAAAGGGTTAGTGTAATATGTGAATGATTGTGAAGGGGTTATTGTAATATGTGAATGATTGTGAAGAGATTAATGTAATATGTGAATGAATGTGAAGGGGTTAGTGTAATATGTGAATGATTGTGAAGGGTTAGTGTAATACATGAATGATTGTGAAGGGGTGAGTGTAATATGTGAATGATTGTGAAGAGGTTAGTGTAATATGTGAATGATTGTGAAGGGGTTAGTGTAATACATGAATGATTGTGAAGGGGTTAGTGTAATATTATCAATCATTGTGGAAGGGTTAGTGTAATATGTGAATGATTGTGAAGGGGTTAGTGTAATACATGAATGATTGTGAAGGGGTTAGTGTAATATTATCAATGGTTGTGAAAGGGTTAGTGTAATATGTGAATGATTGTGAAGGGGTTAATGTAATATGTGAATGATTGTGAAGGGGTTAGTGTAATACATGAATGATTGTGAAGGGGTTAGTGTAATATTATCAATCATTGTGAAAGGGTTAGTGTAATATGTGAATCATTGTGAAGGGGTTAGTGTAATACATTAATGATTGTGAAGGGGTTAGTGTAATATTATCAATGGTTGTGAAAGGGTTAGTGTAATATGTGAATGATTGTGAAGGGGTTAATGTAATATGTGAATTATTGTGAAGGGGTTAGTGTAATATGTGAATGATTGTGAAGGGGTTAGTGTAATACATGAATGATTGTGAAGGGGTTAGTGTAATATTATCAATCATTGTGAAAGGGTTAGTGTAATATGTGAATGATTGTGAAAGGGTAAGTGTAATATGTGAATGATTGTGAAGGGGTTATTGTAATGTATAAATGATTGTGAAAGGGTAAGTGTAATATGTGAATGATTGTGAAGGGGTTATTGTAATATATAAATGATTGTGAAAGGGTAAGTGTAATATGTGAATGATTGTGAAGGGGTTAGTGTAATATGTGAATGATTGTGAATGGGTTAGTTTAATACATCAATGATTGTGAAGGGGTTAGTATAATATTATCAATCATTGTGAAAGGGTTAGTGTAATATGTGAATGATTGTGAAGGGGTTATTGTAATATGTGAATGATTGTGAAGGGATTAATGTAATATGTGAATGATTGTGAAGGGGTTAGCGTAATGTGTGAATGATTGTGAAGGGGGTAAGTGTAATACATGAATGATTGTGAAGGGGTTAGTATAATATTATCAATGGTTGTGAAAGGGTTAGTGTAATATTTGAATGATTGTGAAGGATTTAATGTAATATGTGAATGATTGTGAAGGGGTTAATGTAATATATGAATGATTGTGAAGGGGTTAGTGTAATATTATCAATGGTTGTGAAAAGGTTAATGTAATATGTGAATGATTGTGAAGGGGTTAATGTAATATGTGAATGATTGTGAAGGGGTTAATGTAATATGTGAATGATTGTGAAAGGGTTAGTGTAATATGTGAATGATTGTGAAGGGGTTAGTGTAATATATGCATGATTGTGAAGGGGTTAATGTAATATGTGAATGATTGTGAAGGGTTAATGTAATATATGAATGATTGTAGAAGGGTTAATGTAATATATGAATGATTGTGAAGGGGTTATTGTAATATATAAATGATTGTGAAAGGGTAAGTGTAATATGTGAATGATTGTGAAGGGGTTAGTGTAATATGTGAATGATTGTGAAGGGGTTAGTGTAATACATCAATGATTGTGAAGGGGTTAGTATAATATTATCAATCATTGTGAAAGGGTTAGTGTAATATGTGAATGATTGTGAAGGGTTATTGTAATATGTGAATGATTGTGAAAGAGATTAATGTAATATGTGAATGATTGTGAAGGGGTTAGTGTAATATGTGAATGATTGTGAAGGGTTAGTGTAATACATGAATGATTGTGAAGGGGTGAGTGTAATATGTGAATGATTGTGAAGAGGTTAGTGTAATATGTGAATGATTGTGAAGGGGTTAGTGTAATACATGAATGATTGTGAAGGGGTTAGTGTAATATTATCAATCATTGTGGAAGGGTTAGTGTAATATGTGAATGATTGTGAAGGGGTTAGTGTAATACATGAATGATTGTGAAGGGTTAGTGTAATATTATCAATGGTTGTGAAAGGGTTAGTGTAATATGTGAATGATTGTGAAGGGGTTAATGTAATATGTGAATGATTGTGAAGGGGTTAGTGTAATACATGAATGATTGTGAAGGGGTTAGTGTAATATTATCAATCATTGTGAAAGGGTTAGTGTAATATGTGAATCATTGTGAAGGGGTTAGTGTAATACATTAATGATTGTGAAGGGGTTAGTGTAATATTATCAATGGTTTGTGAAAGGGTTAGTGTAATATGTGAATGATTGTGAAGGGGTTAATGTAATATGTGAATTATTGTGAAGGGGTTAGTGTAATATGTGAATGATTGTGAAGGGGTTAGTGTAATACATGAATGATTGTGAAGGGGTTAGTGTAATATTATCAATCATTGTGAAAGGGTTAGTGTAATATGTGAATGATTGTGAAAGGGTAAGTGTAATATGTGAATGATTGTGAAGGGGTTATTGTAATGTATAAATGATTGTGAAAGGGTAAGTGTAATATGTGAATGATTGTGAAGGGGTTATTGTAATATATAAATGATTGTGAAAGGGTAAGTGTAATATGTGAATGATTGTGAAGGGGTTAGTGTAATATGTGAATGATTGTGAATGGGTTAGTTTAATACATCAATGATTGTGAAGGGGTTAGTATAATATTATCAATCATTGTGAAAGGGTTAGTGTAATATGTGAATGATTGTGAAGGGGTTATTGTAATATGTGAATGATTGTGAAGGGATTAATGTAATATGTGAATGATTGTGAAGGGGTTAGCGTAATGTGTGAATGATTGTGAAGGGGGTAAGTGTAATACATGAATGATTGTGAAGGGGTTAGTATAATATTATCAATGGTTGTGAAAGGGTTAGTGTAATATTTGAATGATTGTGAAGGATTTAATGTAATATGTGAATGATTGTGAAGGGGTTAATGTAATATATGAATGATTGTGAAGGGGTTATTGTAATATATACATGATTGTGAAAAGGTTAGTGTAATATGTGAATGATTGTGAAGGGGTTAGTGTAATATGTGAATGATTGTGAAGGGGTTAGTGTAATACATCAATGATTGTGAAGGGATTAATGTAATATGTGATTGATTGTGAAGGGGTTAGCCTAATGTGTGAATGATTGTGAAGGGGTTATTGTAATATATAAATGATTGTGAAGGGGTTAATGTAATATGTGAATCATTGTGAAGGGGTTAATGTAATATATGAATGTAATATGTGAATGATTGTGAAGGGGTTAATGTAATATATGAATGATTGTGAAGGGGTTATTGTAATATATACATGATTGTGAAAGGGTTAGTGTAATATGTGAATGATTGTGAAGGGGTTAGTGTAATATGTGAATGATTGTGAAGGGGTTAGTGTAATACATCAATGATTGTGAAGGGATTAATGTAATATGTGAATGATTGTGAAGGGGTTAGCGTAATGTGTGAATGATTGTGAAGGGGTTATTGTAATATATAAATGATTGTGAAGGGGTTATTGTAATATATAAATGATTGTGAAGGGGTTAATGTAATATGTGAATCGTTGTGAAGGGGTTAATGTAATATATGAATGATTGTGAAGGGGTTATTGTAATATATACATGATTGTGAAAGGGTA